ATACGCCACTGTTGTCGTGTTGTCTGTCCTCACCAGGACATGGTGACCCGAGAGGAACGGGAGGAAGTGTCTCAGAGAAAGAAGCACCGCCGAAAGTTCGAGAAAGTTTATGTGAAGGTGCTGGAGAGCCTGGCTCCAGCGACCCCTCACAGACCTGCCCTCATGAATGCCGCCCCAGCCTGATAGGCTGGCATCCGTGGTTACCACTTTCCTGGACGAGACGGTGCCCATAGGCACCCCTTGGGTCAGGAAGGACGGGGCTCGCCAACAGCGCAGAGCTGTTATACAGTCCGCTGTGACCGTTATCCGCCGTGCGCCATGACGCACGGGATCCATTCGGAGCGAAGCGACCCAGCGCTGAAAGTCCCGCATGTGAAGGCGGCCGAGGCGAATCACGAGGATGGCTAAGGCCATCAGACCCAGCAACCGAAGGCACAGTCTGAACTGGACAGACCTGTGCAGACGGAAATGTGCAAGGCACGCTCTGAAAGTCGTCACTCTTTCCTCTGACAGGCGAGCTATGAACGGAACAGAGCGCAGGGATAATCCCAGAAAGCATATCTCCTGCGTTGGAGATAGGAGGCTTTTCTCCATATTTATCACAAAACCCAAATCCATCAGGTGTGCTGTGACAATGTGTGTGTGAACCCTGGCTTCCTGTTCTGACTGCGCTAACAGGAGCCAGTCGTCCAAATACGTGGCCAGACGTATCCCCCGGCGTCTGAGCGGAGCTACCGCGGCCTCTGTGCACCGTATGAAAACCCTCGGGCTGAGAGACAGACCGAATGGTAGAACACGGTATTCGTAACACACCCCTTGAAAGGCAAATCGGAGATATTGTCTGTGAGGGGGATAAATGGGAATGTGGAAATACGCGTCTTTCAGATCCACGGACGAAAACCAGTCGTTCGGTCTTACTAGACGCAGCAGTGCTGCATGTGTCAGCATCCTGAACTTGTATTTCCGCAGGAATTTGTTCAGGGCTCTTAAGTCCAGAATAGGGCGGATTCCTCCCCCCCCCCCCCCCCCCCCCCCCCCCCCCCCCCCACCCCCGTTTGGGGACGAGGAAGTATCTGGAATAAATCCCTGACAGACCCTGTTCGGGAGATACGACAGAAACCGCTCGTTTGTCTATCAGAGAGAGAATTTCCTCCCGTAAAACTCGAGCTGATTCTCCCTGTGCATGTGAGTGTATTACGCCGGAGAAGCGGGGAGGGACAGTGGCGAATTGAAGCCTGTATCCCCGGGAAATTGTGCGCAACACCCACGGTGGAGCTGCTGCTGCTCTCCAGCTTTCCCATCTGAGAGAAAGCGGGGGAACATATTGCGGCTCCTGCCCCACGCCCCCCTGTGGTAGAACCGAGAAATGATTCTCGGGCACCACCAGAGGTACGGTGGGGCGCTCCGCTCTGCTCAGCGGGGACGGCGGTGCCCGTCCCGGGAGCAGAGCTGCAGGGGGCTGAGGGGCCACCCTGCTTATGGAGAGAGCATTGTCTGTTTTGGCTTTTTTTATTATCTGCACCCTCGGCTCGTGGCCTGGCTGTGACAGATTTATTATTTTTATTTTGACACCATTTATTCTTTGAACAAGGGTGTGTGACAGTGCTTGTGGACATTCCGCTCGGGGCGCGACCGCGCAAACCTCCGGGGCGATGTCCCTCTCCTCGCAGACCGGCTCTGGGATGGGCAACGGTGGTGCGGGGCGCGCACAAACAAGCCAAAACGGTTGGCCTGCGCAACGGGGAACAGCAGGCTGCACCAACTGAGGAACTGGCGGCTGTCAGGCCGCTCTCTTTTTCTTCCTCGCCTGTGGGACCGAGGTCGCGGCGGCTGTGGGCGGCGGCGGCACAGCGGTCGGGGAGACAGGTTTTCCCTGCCAGCCGGCTCTGCGCTCCTTCCTCATCGGAGGGGGCGGACCTGGCGGTGGTGGCCGTCTCGGTATTTTAAAATGGGGCGGCTGGGAGGCTGCTTGCGCAAAGGTTTTGCGCTGCACTGGAGGTGAAGGCGCTGGGGCTTTGCGAGGGAGACAAAGTTTGAGGGCCTCGTTGACCTTCTTTGCCTCGCATCTTTGCTGCATTGTGGCCAATGCAGAGCCGAAGATGCCTTCAGGGACGATCGGCATATCCAGGATGTCATCCCGCTCCCTGTCGGTCAGGTTAGCGAGACTGAGCTATCGCGCTCGCTCCTGGACGACGAGGGTTGCCATCACCTTCCCCGTGGCCTGGACCGAGACACGTTGGATACGGAGAGACAGATCTGCAATGACCGCCATCTCCTCCCACGCGTCCGGATCTTGCTCCTCAGCGGACGCGCCAAACAACTCCGCTTGGTAGGCAGTGAGGATGGATAGGGCGCTGAGGGCTCTGGCCGAGAGGGCTGCTGCTTTGTATGCCCTTTCGGTCAGCGCAGACTGAAACCGCTCGGGCTTAGCTGGCAGCGTCGGCCGCCTGGGGGAAGCCGCAGACAGCTGGCTCACGCTGCCTGGGCAGAGGTGCGCAGCTACCGGGACTTCCACCGGAGGCATGGAGAGGAGGCCGTGGGCGTCCATCGCCTCGCAATCGAGGGATGCTGCGCCCGAAATAGGGCTCCTGTTGCTGTATGGGCAGTTAGTCCATGTTTTGGAGAGCTCAGTCAGCAACTCGGGGAAGACAGGAAGAAGCTGCTTCACCGCATTTCGTGCCAGGGGAAGCCGTTTGCCTTCGTAGCGGGACCAGGTGGGCTCCGCTATTGCGACCGGCCAGGGGATCTCCAGCTTCTCTGCCGCACGTTTGCACACGTCGAGCAGGTCTACATGGAGGGAGGGAGCTGGTGAGCTCGCTCCCCTGTCTTCCTTGGTGGAAGGGCTCGGCGGTTTTGGCTTTTCAGGCTGTGTTGGGGCCATGAAGGTGTCATCCTCTTACTCGTCCTCTGATATGAGGAACGAGGTGTCGTCATCCTCCTCCATGGGGCTGACTTCCAGCACGTCTTCCTCGGGAAACGGGGGGGCATGGAGCTGCTCGCACTGGGCACCCCAGTCGTAGTCAGTCTCCGGAGCTTCCCCAGCTGTGTCCACGTCCTCCTCCGCGGCTGCACCTTGGGCGGCGGTGGGGATGAATGGATCACAGTCCGAGATGCTAACCTGGCGGGCTAGCCTGCGTCTGAGGATCTAACCGTGAACACTTTGCAGTGTCCACAGGAGCCGGGAATCTCGAGGGCCAACCTGGCGTAGTGCTAGCGTGGTGGGGTCGAGAAAGTAGCTGGTGTGCTAAATGCTCGTCCGACTCGAGCGTCCGCGGAGGGGAGCCGAGAGGGATTCCGCCGTGAAGAGAACAAAAAGGATACCGGTCCGGTCTGGAGTGAGCGGACAGGGCAGAAGCCAGAGCAGTGCTAGCGTCCGGCGACGGAAACTAGCAAGGTCCGTCTGTGGGCAGTTAAGCTTCAGAAGGCTCCGACGCGAGATAAGCTCTCAGGTGAGAAGAGGTTTTGAATTGGAGTGCCGTGATCCGCACACGCTTTAGTAGTCGGAGCTACGGGGCGTGGCGTAAGACGGGCACTTTCACCGGCCAATCAGGATTGGCAGATTGAGATAAATGCTTCTATCAGGGCTGCAGGAGGCTGCATCCCATAGCGAGACACCGAGTGAATATTATGAAAAAGAACTGAGAGCTTTCTGCTGATGAAATGTGTTTTTGTGAAATGTGTCTAGTGAAGGTGAGCGTTCTCACTTCTTGCCATTGTTTCTTCAATTAACTCTGCATATGTGCACACTTACACTGATTAGTTGAACTCTTCTTGCATTAGTGATTATTAACACAGCTCAATAAGTTTGACCCAAGTTGAGCCAAAATTGAGCTTCCAAGTCTGGCTTTTCTCAGTGGATTTCATAAAACAGTCCTCTTGTTATTCAGTTCAGTCAGGTTAAAGTCCCTCTGTAATTCTATTCTTATTAACCACCAACATTAAGGTTCATTTAACAAATGCACGGTAGAATAGACATTTCAAATCCACTAGCTAACATGTGTCAGCTGTTTCTTGTTTTTCCTAAAGGTATTATTTTATCTGAAGTCTCACATATGCACAAGTAAAACAGAAAGCATTCATGAACCAATGCAAAGAAATAAACATCTTTAGAGAATGCATAGTCCTTTAATACCAGAATAGCTTCACATTGGCTACATAAAGACATTTTATACTTAAAATATTGCATCAATGCTAAAAATTTGCCCTTAGTCACAAAATTTTTTTTTTTTATGTATGTATGAAATGTGCATAACGTAAAAGTCACCTTAACCATAAAGAACATACATTTTCTGTTTTCATTTTAACAAAACTATAGAATATAACATTAATAATGATATATTACTGATTTCAAGAACAGGAAAAAAAGAAAAATATAACCAAGTTATTTAGCATCTTCTTTTACACAGTTTCTAAAAGCACAATATGAAAAAATTAATCTAACTAAAAAAAAAAGAGAGAAAAATAACATTACTGCTCTTCTCTATACAGCTTTTCTGAAACAAGTTAAATAATACTTCAGAGGTCGAACAAACAGCTCCAATCAAAACAACCTGCTCAAAAAGAAAGAATTTGACATAAAAAAACAAACAAAGATATGTGCAATATGTGGAATTTTGCATGCAGATATTTAGCATTTTTTTTGTATGCTTTTAGCCCAAAGTAAAAATGGTTTCCTTAATTTGGCGCCTCTCAAAGGATCCACACTCATGAGCATTGAACTTAGATCGCATTGATGATTTTTCTGCCCATCTATAGGCTCCCCAAGTTTGGCTCATCTACAATATAGTTTAGTGCAAAAGTCTTAATATTCAGCTCTCTTTTATATAGAAAAATAGTTCTATAGAGGCAATAAACACTATATTAAACGATTGGATGGAGAGGTATTATTTAAGGTTTGAGATTGATTAAATTGGCTTTAAAAAAAAACGGTTTTAAAAAAATAGCACATCCATATTGTATATGTAAGAGCGATAAAGCAGATGTACACATTTTTTTCCCCCTTTATGGAGGCAAATAAATTATTCTTTTTACATAACTTATAAGGAAACTGAAATCTTCTCAGTGCAGTCAGTTTTTTATTTTAATAAAAATATTCTGCAACCATATCTGTATCAATGTCCTTTACAACCGCAGTCAAACTTCTGCTTAGTGATGTTCAAACACGTCTCTTTTCAGTGTAACAAAATATACATTTAGAATAAATTATTTGTTTTTTTATTAGAAACTAAACAATTGCCCTCTGTAACTAATGCGGAGTGTGTGACATGGGGGAACCCATCAACCCCCCCTGCGTTTAACCACTATGGTGCCGGCGACAATGTCGTAAACAGTCCTGTTGTGCTGGAAGAAGAGCAGCGTGATGAAGATGGGGAAGAGGAAAGTGATGGAGAAGTTCTTGTTTAGTGCCCGCACCGTGGAGCTGTGAATGTAAGGAAAAATCTGAAATTGTTTTGATGATCTCATATAATGAAGGAAACTTTGATGAAAGTTAAAGATGACATCACTCACGCTGAGAGGGACACGTTGGATGCTGGAACTACAAGAACGCGGTTGGGTCGTACCATGGTGGAGGTGTCGCAGGTCACCACCCGCAGACCCAGCAGGAACTTTCCTGGAGTCGCACCACCAGCTCCCCAAATGCAAACCGTCTGGTCAAACAAGAGAAAAGCATCAAAGATTTAAAGTTTAATGCAAACCAAATATATAACCAGACAAAAAACAATTATATGTGCATCTATATGTGTCAGGAGATCACTGAAATGTCAGTAATTCAGTTTAACTAATAAGTTACTACACAGAGTAACATCGTAACAGTTTGAATGCAGTATTTCTGATCTTTCTGGCAAATAATACAATTATCATCATAAACTTAGAAAAGCATCCGCATATAAAATTTACTTTTTTAAAACTGAAATCTGGATCTACTCCAGAATTTTGTTATGTACGATAAATAACTAAACAGTTGGAGTAGACTCTTTTTGCAGGAATTACTGCATCACTGTGATACAACAAGGGGCAGACTATTTCCTGGCATCACTGGGCCAGTTGTCTGGGTTTACATTTTGTTTAACCAGGTTAAACAATGCAGCATTGTCAACATCAAATAAGAAAAGTCAATAACAAATTATGCAGGTGTTTGTGGTACCATTCTAATACACCTGTGTTTTGTACAAGATCTTGTAATTCTGCAATATTAGTCTCCAAATCTTTAAGTCTTCAGATGCGTTCACACCAAATGCAAATTTCCACTTCCATGGTATCAATATGTAGAGGGCAGCACTGGAACACTGCAGGTGCTGAATTGAAGAAGGCGAATGCCGTGATTTTGGTGAAGTCAGGAAAATGCTTTTGCTCGCCTTGCTATTTTCCTGGCCAGCAAAAGAATTTTGCCCGGCGGACGAAGGCATCCTACATCATGGAATCTGATGATTTCTGGGTTCATCTCATCATGGCGACATGGATTTACAAAGCGACTAGCAGTGTTTTTTTTTTGTTTTGTTTTTTTTACTTCAGAAAGCCGAAAAAGATTCCCAGAGACGGAGCGACCACAGGGAATACCAACACTGAGGCTAGGTCTGGATGACGGTCACTATCCGCCAATCCCCGCCCTACGTCAAGGGTCTGCTGTTCCACATTGGAGGACGAATCATCCGGACGACAGAGAATTAGGTGAGATGACATTTTGAAGCTCAGGCTGGAGTAACGTAAATCAGGGCGAGAAAACCAGCAGAGAAAAAAAAAAAAACAGGAACATGACCGGCCTGCTAGCCATGTCAGCCTCTGGAACTATAGAACCACAGCAGGAGATCGGAGGAGGGCTAGCTGTAGAAGCTAACTGTGGGGGAACAGTGGAGCACAGTGGCAGATCGGATTAGTCCACAGGGAAGACAAAACACTGGAGGTGGGGTAGAGACTAAGGTTTTCTGGGAGCAGGACAGTGGTACATCTGAGAAGCCAGCAATAGTGTCAGAGTTAGGAGAGGCGAGGATTTTGCAAGTGAATATTAACAAATGTTCAGATTTTTCTACTTCACTCGCAGGCAGTAATCAGATGTCACAAACATCCCCAAAATCGTACGAATCACCTCCCTACATTTGCCTCACTCAGCTTCGTTGCACTTTGCTTCACTCCAGATCCCCTCTCTACATAGAGATAACATGAGAATCCTTCACTCCAACTGCAAACAACATGTTTGGTGTGAATGTACTATTAGGGTCTCTTGGGTCTGACCACTTTGGTTGCATTTTTTCAAATCTGTCCAAGGACAAGGGTATGTTTTCAAATTAGATGAGTTACAATTTTACAGAAAAAAATGTATCAAAATATACAAAACTAACCATTTATTTATATGAGGGAAACTTAAAAACAAATCATAATTTAAGAGATACTGGTATTTATTGCTGCAGTCTCTGAACCAACACTGAAAAAAAGTAACTGTGAAGTTTATAAACCTAAATATACTTTCAGTTTTGTGGTTAGGGTTTACATAAGGTTTAAGAAACTCTTTTAAAAAAGTTTTAACTAGAGCATCTCCACAACACTATCAGCAGGGAGAAACATACAGTGCTCTCTAACGTCCTAGTTAATGGCTGGGCTGACCTTAGATAAACCAGAGACGGACCACCAGCACCAGATAATATGCCTCCACAAATCATCCCCGACTGTAGAAACTTTACACTGGACCTGAAGTATCTGCATCTACACGTCCAACTCCACCCTTGCTTTCCAAATTGCATGCAAAATGTGGTTTCATCTGAAAAAGGGAGCCTTTGGGTCACTGAGCAACAGACCAACAGTTGAGCCAATCCTCTTCTCTGGTTTACAGGTGGCTCAAGATTAAATAAAGTCATTATAGTCCATTTTCCTGTATACATCTGTGCTTTTATAAACTTCAGGCTTCAGTGCCCTGCTATCAGGATTAGTAATGAGCAATCAATGTGCATTTTTAGAAACTGAATTTCAATATTTGATAATGAAATTCTAATAAACTAAGAAGCACCTAAATTAGGCCAGAAATGTATTTTCTGATTATTGTAAAACATCAAAGGAAACCAGTGCGATTGAACCAGACTGATCCGAGGTGCCTCAACGTCCCAGAGCTCAGCCCCACGTGGGAAAACAATGTCGCAGCCTCAGACGTCCAACGCCAGACGCAGCCCGCATGACTTCATCCAAGGCAATTCTGAATGCAACGTTGCATCATGGACCCTCTATGGAACAAGATGTTTTGTTGCACAGAAGTCGCTTTATGCAGCAATGAACCAACTCTTTGTGAATGTAGTGGAAAGAACCTTCATCTTCCCTCAATATTTGATTTTGAGTTTTTTTCAAGAAAAAAAAAATTATCTAGACAGTCATTACGCTGTGGTCAACTTACAGTAAGTCCGTTTAGAACACCTATTCTCATTTTGCATTTAAAAAATTTAAAACTGAAAGGGAAAATTAAAAACTGTAATCATTTAAAAAATGTAATTATATATACATATATAAATAAACATAATGTGATATCTGCTAATCTTATGTTGCCCATCATAATGAACTTCACATCTTGTTATTCAGGTGAATTATAAAGATCAGGGTTTTGTACAATATGTACCAGGGTTGTCGCCACTGTAGAGGGACAAGGACATCGTCTGATTTATGAATTAATGTTAAAAACAATCAATGTAAGAGTAACAAAAAAAAAAAAAAAAAAAAAAACAACAACTCACCAACTAAAAAATATTCTACTTTAAGTGACTCAACAAATCAGGCAGTTAAAAACGTATCCCACCTCGTAGACACAGACCAGCACCCTGTAAACCAGAGCGACCACCATCATTTTCTGCAGGTCCTCGATGGATGTGTTCTCATCGATCTCCTCAATAATGAAGTGGGTGATGAACTTGGCAATGTCCCTGAAAGAAGAGGAGACGATTGGTTCGTATGAGGTATGAAACTAAAGTTGGAAATGATTAATTGAATTGCTTTTTGCTTCTTAATCACACTGACGGTTCTCACTTCATTCCACAGAGATGCATTATCCATAAGACGATGGTGGCCTTCACACAGAACAGGATGAGGAAATCCACAGTCTCTGCCAGGAACCTCTGGAGAGGCGAGGGGATTGTGTACTCTCGTCCTGTGAATATAATGCAGAAACTATTTTCCTTTGTGCAGTTCATGGTTTGTCCCATGTTAACAATGACACAGATACAAATCTGACAATACAATTAAAGTGGAAAAAATTAAATAACATACAAAACAGAAAAAAAAACAAAATAAAAAAGTTGAAAAGTTCAGCTTAGGCAACTGGATGTGAAGTTTTCCAGGTTTTCAGAAGCTTCATCAGTTCTAACTAGTGGTGGAAGCACTAAGATTAATACCTGTAGGTGTAACCAGGATGTTTCCCATATTTCTTTGTTATACCTACAGTACATTAACCTCAGTGCTCCCCACCATTAGTTAAACTGAAGAAGCGTCTTGGATCCGAGGCGAAACGGCTTCTGGAAAACTTCACATCCAGTTGCCTAAACTAAAATTTTTCAATCCCTACATAAACTTCATTTTAGAATTTAATGTAGTATATGGCCACATTTACTTGTTCTTCGATACCCTTACAGCCCAGAGGGCAGGCCAGGAAGCAAATTCCTAGTTTAACACACCTTTCTGCAGCTTCTCTAATTTTACCTTTTTTTTTTTTTTTTTTTTTTTTTATCCAAGGTAAGAAAAACATCAAATAAATTAGAAAAAAAAAAATAGGTTCAAAGGAGAGGAAGATTAGCCTGACGTAGTCCTACTCAATTCTAGTCAGAATATGAGTCTGATACTGCTCCATAGAGCTGTGATTATGGGGCGTGTTTCTAACGAACCAGGAAAAAAAATGTCTCTGCACTCAATTGGATAGACCTACAACCAATAAGAGCAAAGGAGTGCGTGACGTATGTTAAGCGACGCATAGTTGTTGTCAACAAAAATCAAAGCGTGCAGTTGCACGCCTAGAATAAGAAGATGAGCCTTGATCGCGTTTCTCTGTTCCTCTTTTAAAATTTATTATTTGCTGTCGATATCTTCTAGAACAGACCTAATAGCAGAATCTACACACCTCAACTCTCCAGCAGCAGCCATTGTTGTTGTCACTCAAGCGCGCTTTGGTCACGTGGTTGATTACGTTACTGTTGATCATCTGTCCATCATCGTATAAAGCCCGCCCTGACGATTTGATTGGCCCGCCAGATATTGTGCTAGCATACTCGCGCTACTGTTGAGCAATGCCAGGCCGAACTTCCCGACCTCAAACGTTGTGGGCGGGACTAAGTTCGGAATGGCACCCAGGCTAGAGGAAGGTGGCCAAGGAGAAGATTTATATGGTCTACTGCAGGCCGTTTTGACATTCATCAGCCTGACTGAATATGCATTTATGATATCTAAAATTATTTCTTTATAGTCAAAATAATACAAATCATGATCAGTAACAATAGGAAAATGGAGATCTGAAATTAATTTCTAGACATTCAGAATGTTTATTCTAGATGTGAAGAATATAATTTTTTTTAAATGTTCATATTGATGAAAAAAAAAATGTTTTTTTTTCAGATATCTGAAATACATATTCAGTCAAACTAATACATATTAAAAGGACCTGCCATAGCCTGCTGTAGCCACGATAGAATTAGGGGGAAAATAGTTTATTGCTTCTAATGTTAGTAACAGTGAAGTTTAAAAATGTTCAAACAGGTAGGACTTGTGCATCATATTATGGGGTTCCTCCTCAGTTTGATTCTGTCTACGATCACACAGTAAATACTTAGTGGCTGTTTGCAACCGCTTTGGATGCTATCGTCCCAATAAATGGCCAATTATTAGTGGTTATAAGTCCAATTGAATGGCTTCAAAATTTTGCCTCCAACCTACCAGCAATCCTAACCCTAAGGTAATTCCCTTTTTCCCCAAGAATTAATGAATCTATTTATGTGCAATCTGAAAATAATTTCAATAGTTCTTTGTGAACTGTTAGAAAAAAAAAGATCAATAAGAGCATGCAGTGCACACATTAGAAGGCGTTTTCATCGGATTCCCAGGTTGTGCTGGATTTTTTTGATCCAAACCTTAATCCAACCATCTAAGTAATGATAATGAGGAAGACAGAGGAATCCCCTTCCACTTATACAATTTACAGTAACATGACTGTCCCAGCACCAGAAGCACAAACCTTTCCCATATTTCTTTGTCCAAAATAGCTTTAAAAATTATTCATACCATTATAGTTTGAGGTATCATTTAGCAAAAAATGCCTAAATGGCTCAAAGTATTATAATAACTTCTTAAATAAAAACGTGCTACTGAAATTGTCAGGGAAGGTGATCCTACAGTACTAAAGTATGACACTAAGGGGCCAGGGGTGGAGCTAGATGGGGGCGAGGGGTGGCCATGGCCACCCTAACCCAATCATTGGCCACCCCTACCATTTTTTCCCTCTAATACAGACGGTGACAGCAGTAATACTCTCAAGTGGAATGTTCTAACTTACTTAACATTTAAATTTTCTATATGTTAACAATTACCTGACAACAAAAACCCTGTGGTTAATTATGCACATGAATATACTAACATTAAAGATAAATACAGAATTCATGCTCTTTTTAGATCTTGTCTTATATGGAGTAAAGAGGAAATTATGTCTCTGCAAGTCATTTAGGAATCTTTACTGAAATCAGAGATAAATAACTACTTTAATAATAAGTAATCCATTGAATGTAGATATTAGTACATGTAGGTATACATATTATGCTGAATGATTATTAATAAAAATAGGTTAGTAATGACAATGAATAAGATGTTCGTGCCAGAACTCAAAACTGAAAGAATTTTGTCCACCACACCTTTAATTTAGACAGCATGGATGTTTAAATATATGCATCTATTTGTTAGCAAAGGCTGCAGGAAAGTATAGTTTGTCTTTATTTAGAAAATATGGATGTTGTGATTGTTCATTTTCCTGTTGGAACAGTGTAGATTGACCCTGAGGCTCTGGCACCTATCCGCTTGGGGCACCCATTGGTTATTGCCTGGCCACCCTTATTAAAATTTTCTGGCTACGGCTCTGTAAGGGGGCTGGGAAAAATGCACGCCACACGTTTCAGAGTTTGTGGTGAGAACAGGTTATTTTTTCAATCCATATCACAGTTTTATTTCATGATCATTAAACACATAACATCTAATTACATTGCTGTGATGGTTTGGATGCAAAAAGTTTAGGTGTGAATCATTTTGCAAGGCACTTTAATTATTCTGAAGCTACTTCACATCTAAATAAAACTCGTAGAGGAAAACAAAGAGCAAAGAACAATCCCTATAAGCCTGTTTACCAGCTGGACTTCTTCCTAATCCTGCTTCCCTTTACATTCAGGTCTTATCTGAAGCCTTTAGGAACCACGCACGGTGCACCATGCAGAGGAGAGCCCTACCTGCCGGTGGTGGACTCCCGTTCGGCTGCCTCCTCTCCTCACCCGCGGCTGAGCGCTGCTCCGCCTGCGGAGGGAAGGACCCAGGGGGTCTCAAGGCATACGGGTGACCGTACCAGCTCACAGTTTCGGACGCTTGTTGTCCGCTGACCGAGCTAGAAGCACGAGCAGCTAGTGTCTGGGCGGCGGAGCCCTGCGGAGGAAAAGGAAAGGCGGACAGAGCCAGCCAGCTCTGCCAGCTAGCATAGCCCCAGTAATGCTCCCACATCCACCGCTGTAACTTCAAGCAATACTCAGTCGTGGCATTAGCTTGGAGCTGCTTAGAATCGATTTCGAAGCCGTCGTTACAGCTGTCACTCGCCATAGTCACAAAATGCTCCACCAGTTCACCCGCATTAGAAAGGAAGCAATTCAGTCTGCCCCCTGCTGCACCTGACGGTTGGACTGGCGCTACCCAGTAGCGGCGCTAGGGGGACCTATAGCTACCTCCAAGAAAGTCCTAACTTCTTCTTCTTCTAGAATTTATTGGCGGTTGGCAAACAACTTTATGGCGCATTACCGCCACCAACCAGTAAGGAGTGTGGATCAGGACAAACATGCTCAAAAATATATATATGTATTTAAAAATATATATTATAAAATATAAAATAAATATATAAAATACATTCTTTTCACTAAACCTGTTACCAATAAAAAATGAAACATAATTCTATAACCTAAATTGTAAGTGCTTTTCCTTAAAATATTTATTAGACAATACTGCTCTTTTTCCTTTTCAAGACTCCTTATCAGCTGTCTTCTTTGATATTTCCTACAGTTATACATAACATGTTCTGTGGTTTGAAATTCCCCACATATATTGCAACTTCCTGTTTCATGTTTTCCTATTAACTGTAATGTTCAATTAAGTCCTGTATGTCCTAAGTATTCTGTTCCTCCCAATTTTCCCTTGAACTTTCCTAACCTTCCTTTGTATTCTGTAAAGCCATCTTCCTTTTATATCTTCTTCCCATTGTTTTTGCCATTTTTCTTGAACCTTTCTTCTAATAATACTTTTAACTTCTGACTTACTCATGAAAGAAAGTCCTAACACACCCCAAGGAAAAAAATAGATTTGATACCTTTTCAACGAACCTAATATTCTTGAACATGCTGTTCTTGGTTTTATTATTTCCTCACAAAAAACAACCAGTTACAAAAAAAAAAAAAATACGTCCTAAAAATCCTTCTTAGCTTTGATTTAACTTGAAAATATGTGGGGCAAACAATCAACTGCTGAAACTATAGATCATAAATTGGTCATATTTGTATTTTTATATTTAACTAAAGATATATATGAATTTGTAATGCATTGGTTTTTGTTCTGTTTTAGTTTTGGACAAATTACTTCCACTCCACTGTGTATTTCTCTTAGTCACTTCCCAGCCAGCATTTAGCACCATAATCAGCTCCAACTTTTGCTCCTTATTATTCCCAAATTTTCCACCTGTTTCACTCTCTTTATATACATGCCTCACTCTCCTCTTGCTGCCAGAATGAAAACTAATCACTCAGCTTCTAATGTGTTCCCAGAAGCTTGTTGCACTACCTGTTCCGGTCATTCAGCATTACTGGGAATGCTATTGAAGCGATGATTCTTTTTGATCCTTTGTGTCATAAAGTAATTCACTGTCCGAAGCTACATTCAATACTCTATTGGCAGAAGCTATTGTTGGACTAATTGAAATCCTGAGATGTGATGTATCTCTTCTGTATACAATGACACTCGTGTATGTTTTGTATGTGTTTGTAGTACCTCTGAGTAGACATAAGATTAGATTAGACATTAGACAGAATTGATTTTGTCATTTTGTACACACAAGTGTACACTCAAAAATAGATTTCATTTAGTGCAGCTCTCTGGACTTTTCCATTTTTTAAAGTGCAGCCTTGATAAAGGCAAGCAGCACTGATAAAAACACTGAGATGAAAAAAAAACCCACTGTGGTGAAAAAAAGTAATGTAAACATACGACCGTATAGTTACAGTTCCAACATTCAGGTTTTTTATTTTTTTAATAAACCATTTTATATACTGGTAACATTCAGCAGTCTAATGGCAGTGGGGAAGAAACTGTTCTGGAATCTGCTGGACCTGATGCTGCAAAGTCTCTTTCAAGAGGGCAGCAGGGTGAACAGTCCATGTTGGGGGTGTGAGGGGTCATTGATAATGTTACGGGCTCGGGACACGCAGTGCTGGAATGAAATGTCTTTAATGGAAGGAAGAGGAGCCCCCATAATCCTCTCTGCTGTTCTTACTACTCTCTCACCTTCTTCCAGTCTGAGGTCCTGCAGCCTCCACACCACACAATGAGACAGCTGGTCAGAACGCTCTCCAATTATAATTCATATTTTGGGTGCTTGGTGTACTGGGTGTTTTTGGACATTGTGCTTGGTAAAGAGGGTACCTGTGTTACTTCAGGTGTTTTTATGTATTAAAAGGGTTTTCCGCAAAGTAGAGATGCTCAGAAGTTTTATTTTTTAGACAATTTCCCCAGCTTTGGCAAAAATTCACGGAACAGATGAGGTACTGTTTGGTCGGGTGATGTACCCTGAGCACTAACCCTCTGTTTGCTTGCTCCCGCGGAGGGTCCGCCACATTAAGTGCCATCCCAAACCATGTAGTGGGTAGTACCAGTACAGGTAGATCATCCAGCGAGTCTAGTGAGTCTGCAGCAGTGCAGGCTCACTGGAATTTGGCAGCAGGTGTAACAGCAGCCCAATGGGGGAGGAAACACCTGCATTTAAATGTAAGTTCCACCAGTTTGCTCCATCTTCATCATACTGACAGAAAATCACAAGTTAGGTATAAGAAAAAAACATAATCAAATGCAAAATGTGAGTTCCTCTTTGAAATAGTTTTATTTTACCATATACATTTGTTTTAAGAAATGGGAAATGTTAAATTTTATGTCACACTGCCCCACAGAGCTACAACCACACACGGGTGTCACTGTGTTGCCATAGCAACGATTAGTTTTTTTTTCCATTGGAGGGAAGAGGCCATTTTCTACCCCAAACCCGGCCAGCGATTAACTGAATATTAAACAATCATTTCAGCCACTTGATAAGGTAAACATACCCACTGTTGTATTCAATACCAGCACAGGAACGACATATGATTTTATGCAATAATTTTATATCAGGAAACAAGTCTAAGTCTATGAAGGCCATTTTGAAAATAATTGTTTTTTTTTTTTGCATTTTATCCTCTGACTATGCTCAAACAAAAACAACAAGAGGGAAAAATGAGTATATCAATAATAATTACTAACACTAATAATAGATGAAACAATTCAAATGTGATTTAGTATTCCATTCCTTATCATGCTCAAAGCTAAAAAAAAAGATCGCCATAATTTTATTCTTCTTATTTCACTCAACTTCATTTTAGATTGAGATTTAGTTTATTTCTGAGGATGGCGCTGTCTTTTCCTTTAACATCATAGGAAAGAATTGTTCAGTAGTGACTTAAAAAACAATTTCCAGCCTTGAAATTGCTTTTTTCCCTCTACATGAGTCCTCAGCTCAGGCAAAAACATTGGTTTTAATTAGATATGTAGAAAATATATTAAGCCACAATTTGAAAAACTGTATAATTGCAAAATAATCCAAACCACTTAAGCTGTAATATTAAAAGTTTATTTTCAAAAATTATGATTGAAGACAATATTTTTCTGAACAAAGAATGAATAAAGTTGTTGCAACATTTTATTGAGCTAATATTTTCATCAGATTATAATTTCTATGTGTAACTTCAATAGATTCAATAAGACAGAAAGCACTTTATTAATCATATAGTACTTCTTTATTACAAACTGAGTAGTGTGACAAGACAATGCACTACCTTTAGCTAAAACTTCCATATCACAAGAGGGCAGCAGAGGATCAATTTTGCAAAGTAAGCATTCCAGACTAGCTTTGAACAAGAATTTATAGCTGCAATTTCTATCTTTTATTTATAATGTGAAACTCCTCCTCATTCATTTTAATGTTTCTAAAGCAGATTTGGCTTTGTTTCAGTTTTTATCTTTTAAAAAACATACTTCCTTTTGTACAGTTAAGCGTTGTTGCAAAGTATATCCACCAACAAGCTGAAATCCCAAATATGTTAAAGGAGTGACTAATCAGTCATTTGGCACACAGATCACTGAGGTCAGTAATTCAGATGTGTGTAAAAGTTGACTTGCTGGGTAATTTTTCTGTCACTCTCATACGCTCTGACTTTTATTTTCCTGTTTGGATCACTTCATCCTGCAGGATCTAGGTCCTCCTGTCTCTTAGGAATGGGATGTGATGGAGGGCATTGCATTTGCTGACTGGGCTGGCCTGAAACTTTGGGTTAGGTGTCTGGGCTAGGTCTGCCAGTTCTACGTAATTCTGCCTACCCGCCTGAATAGATCCAGTGAGGCGGACACCAATGAGTGTTATCCAGGCCAACAGAGGCCATACGATGACTGTGCCCAAAACTAATCGGGTCTAAATAAAAGCTGTGTCTGGCAAACGCTGACCTGAGTAGAAAACCCAAAAACCTGCTGGGATTTCAGTGTGCATGTGTCGGCTGAGTATTTATAAAGCTATGTCTGTCATATTGTGGTAATATTGAAACTTTCTGTTATTGTTTTGATAAAAAAAAATAGGCAACAACTTAAGTCAGACTGCTAATAATAAACTGCCTTCCATAACATCCCATATTGATTGCTTCCTTCCAACTCATTTCCTTAGACACAATTTGGACGCATAAATGACTTATTATGTATTGTTAAGGAAAAAAACATATTACAGTTGACAGGAAATCAGTAAAACAGCCACATGAAATGTAAATATGTCTCCTTCATGGAGAATTTGTGCTAACTGTTGAGTCTAATGAATGGTAAAAAGAGAGGAATGCATTTACTGATGTAGAAAGGACACATGGCTGATAAAGTTACTGTGAAACAGGTTGCTGTGTCTGAACAAGAAGTTGTTTCGCTGATGGAACAAGGTCGTGCAATTTGAAAAAGGGGTTTTCAGAGCGAAGGAAGCCAAGTCGATCATTTTATCAATAAAGCTAAAACTCCCCACACGGTGGCGGCATGAGGGCTGTGTGTTTGTCCGCAGAGGATACAAGGAGACAAGGGAGGATATAAGAAAACATTGGATGAGAAGGAGATTGTTTGTTTTCTAATGGAAATCTGACCATTAATATGCTTTTCCTCTGTAAAGAGCAAAGCAAAATAAATGGTGGTTTATTTCAATTCCATATGTTCAAGTTACCCTAAAAATACCAGCCTCTATACAGTATACAAAAATAATTGGCCGGTATTTCTGCATAGGTCAGAGAAAGCTTCAGTTTAATGTCACAAAATAAAATTCTCAGATTTCACGGATAGCTTTAGGTTTTTGTATCTCCTGAAGCAGGAAAACATCTCCAGATCATCAC